ATATGCTTTAAGGCTATTTGCCTGAGAAACTAGAACAGTCTGATGTGGATGAAATAAAGGATTTGTATAATAAACTCCAAGCGCATGTGATCAGTACTAATGACATTGTCAAATCTTCAGCCCTCATAAAACTGCAAAGAGTGCTCAATACTCTGATGCATGAACTCAGGAGCAAATCAAGAACAGCAAAGTTATGGCTGGCCTACAATGAGTACATTGACATGCTTAAACTGTTTATTCATGCTGAAAGAACATTGCATTGTTGTTAAATTTAGTTGCAGCAACCAGGCATTTCAACTATGTAAAAAGGGCATGATTGTACCTACAATGGAATTGCCTGAAAAGCATTGACTATATTAACTCTTCTCAGAGTACAGGTTTCATTCTGTAATGCAGTGACCATTACTGGGCCGGATTGTCAACTGACATCATTATTGAACAAGTGATGACGAGATCCATAAAGTGCAGTGCGCTAACTAGGGGATGAAGGTTTATGGAATCAGTGAGATTGATGTGGGTGTATAGCATGCACACCTGCACCTAAGATGCTATGACAACATTGACCAGTCTTGGCCACAGTACCAGCAAGAAGCACATAGAGCTAACAAGTGCACATGTGAAGAGAGATATTGTTGATATGACCTGTGTCTTCAATTGGATCCTTCAACACAATCCCTTTGACCCAAGCCAGCCTGAACTATGATTAGTATCATCTGGCTTGACAGCATCCAATGGTGCTGGAGTCAATTGTGATATTGTCAAGGAGATTGGTCACTCTATCCTGAAGTAGTTTGACAATGTAAACATTTTAGAGAGCTCACTGAAAAGAAGTGTGTATGCTTGTTGAGCTGGAAAAACATACAAAGATTGATGGTCAAAATGTTCATATTGACCCTATTGCTCTGTTTTCAAAGGTTGGGTGTTCTGATGGAAAGTTATGAAGATGTGACATTATTCTTCAAGTTTGAACTCCATTTCCAACTTCAAATTTTAAAAATTTCCAAATGAGAAAGAGAAACAAACCCATGTTGAAACATCATCTGACCAGTAACATACTTGAATTTCAGCCACCAACTGATACAATGTTTGTTTTAGATCAAGGTGCTCTCCTCCACCAAGTGAAGTGATTGACTAGGGTGACACACAGTGATGTGGTTGCACAGTACCTGAGCTATGTGAAGGCCAAATATGGGCCATCAAGTATCATTTTTTTATGGTTATGCAGGCTCATCTATAAAAGAACATGAACATCAGTAAAGAGCAGCTCAGACTTCTGCTAGCAAACAAATCAAAGATGGATTGCAGTTTGATGTTCACGAAGAGCTCTTCCTCTCAAATGAAAAGAACAAAGATCAGTTTGTCAAGATATTATATCATTCTTTAGAAGCCGACAGTGATCAGGTGGTTCAAAATTGGGGAGACACAGACACGAATATTATTTCTGAAATGCTTACACTAGCTAATTAAGGAAATTTAGTGAATGTAATAGCTGATGACAGACATTCTTGTTCTTTTACTTTTTCACTTTTCCCCACACATGGATGACATCTATATGCATTCTGAGGGAAAGAAGTCTTAGGGGAAGATGAAGAAGCTGTTCAGCATCTATGAAATTGCAGAGAAGACAAACTCCTACATTCTGCAAAACTTGCTAGTCATCCAAACATGGGGTGGATATGGCCCAGTGTCAGCTGTTTTGGGACATGGGAAATGTGGCATAATCAGGTTTATTCATAAATCAAAGTGTATCCAGTCTTGTTGAGCTACTTTAGCTGATGCAACTGCTTCTCCTGCCCAAGTTGCATCTGCTCGGTTACAGATTTTTGTCAAGCTGTATGGAGAAAAACCAGACAATATATTGGATTCCCTCAGGTACATTAAGTATATGGAGTATGCCACAACATCAATGAAAAAGTTACAGCCTTAAAAACTGCCTGCAACTAAACAATCAGCTTTGTTCAGCTTCTGCTTCCATCTACAAGCTATGATTTGGAAGACTTTAGGTTATTGCCAACTTTATCCTCAGCTACACCAGATTTTCCTAATCCCTTTGTGTTATGGCTTTACAGTGTTCCTGCTGTCTAATCTTAAGGGGAAGGCTCATTTCTCCTTTATATTTCTTACCACAGCTGCATAGGATGGCATACACAGTTTTTAATCATGTTCTCCTCTATGGGAGGTCTTACTCAGAAGAGGTGTCTGCAAAGTGTTGAACCACTTTTGAGGGTCATCATATCATATGGACTATTTGTATTTTTTCCAATAATCCCTTCACATAGGGTAGGCAGACCAAGACTGTTTTCTGAGTGTTGTTATCCTTTTGCAACTTTATATCCCAGTTTGTCAGAGCTGCTACCCTGGTGGATGAAATAAAGGGTTCAGTTTGAAATTCCAATCACCTGAAGAAGGCCAGAGTGTACCATGGCTGAAATGTTGTGAATATGGTAACAAAGACAAGGACAACAATCTGAACAGTGTAAATAGTTTTACTTCAGGTACATTATTTCAGATATGGTTTGCAAATTATCTGCCATAGGTAAATTTCCCCAGTTTGTCCAAATGAGGACTTTTCAATTTTCAAAAGAAGAGACAATAAACTTTCTAAAAATACCATATTTAGCTTGGTAACATTTTTTTTCTCTGGTGAATATTGATATCAACCAGACTACTGGTATGAGAGACATGGCCAGCCCTACTTGATGATCTCAGTTATGTCTTTCACTCCAGTCTGCTATTGATTCCAGGTGTTGCACTTACTGTCATGTAACATGATGCCAAGCATGATTCATTTTTACATTGTATCACTGCAAGAGTCTCTGCAGTGGTGGTGTTGAATGCCCATGTCTCACTTCCATAATCACATATATATATATATATATATATATATATATATATATCATTTTAAAGATTATTTTTAGTGGATACCTATATTTGACTTTAAACAGTATATTTATTTTTCATTCACCATCCTGAATATTCGAAAATATCTTATTAATGAAAAATATTTACCCTCCAGCAGGATTTGAAGCTGTATCCCCCTTTGCAGGAGAAACTGTCATTAGATCTGATGTGATTTCGATCAATTTGGCCATAAAGTGCATCACTGATCAATCAAGGCTGAATACTGCCTATAAGCACAATCCTTCTTGTCCCAGATTCTTGAAAGCTTATATCTGCCCAGGTTTGTATCCAAATGTAAACAAAGCAATTTCTAAATAAGTAATTTCATCTTTTTTTTATTAATCCAACAGATTTTTATCACTTTAAACATTAAAAATCTGTTGGATTAATTAATTTTTTTAAACTCCCCAAACTTTCACAAACATTGTTTTTGAATAGGTTTTGTATACTTTCATATAATTAATTTGTATACTTTCATATAATTAATTTTAGTTATTCATCCTAAGTTTGAAATTATTGAATGGTACTGAAACAGATTGACAAAGAATAATTTTTCACTCTATATTCTTATAGTTGCTACAGTAAACAGAAAATTTTAAAGTTTTGGGAACAGTTAATCATTATTAAATTTAAAGAAGAAAAACAGAAAATAAACAATTATATGACCAATGAAGAGATAATAAAATCTCAATGTCTTAAAAAAACTACTGCCTATTATTAGTAGCTATTAAAAAATGTGGATAGTGAAAAGTTTAAAACAATCTGGGAGGTATTGTTCTGGTAAAAGCTTTTATCATTTAGCATATGTATTATATATGTTAAAGGTATTGTTCTGGTAAAAGCTTTATCATTTAGCATATGTGTTATATATGTTAAAGGTATTGTTCTGGTAAAAGCTTTATCATTTAGCATATGTGTTATATATGTTAAAGGGTATTAATCCTCTTTGGTATATAATTTGATCATTGTAAAAATGACTTGTACTATGGTACCTAAACTTTATGAACTTAAGTGCAGTACTAGATTTGCAGCAAGGTCTCATCATTTTACAGTTGAAATGGCTAAATATAATCATAAGTTCTATGCTGACAGTTTCTTCTCTTGCGCTTCATATTTGTGAAACTCTCTTCTGGCTTCTTGCTTTCTGGTCAATGTTGATCTTTTAATTTGAAATTTTGAAATTTTATGTCAATCCTTATTGTAAAATGAAACTCAATCAGGCTAGGAATATATTTTATTCATAAGCATTGAAAAAGAAAGAAAATGTACAATTATGTCAGTGCTTCAATGATTCTCTTTTATAATATTTATGTTGTATGTTTTACTTGAATGCAGTGATATTCTTTTAGGGGGGGGGGCATTATTATAATGAGACCTGATCTACTCTACAGTTATCTTCTGTCTTCTTAATTGCAATTCATTTATTGTTCTCTCTCCTTAATAATGTTTTTGTATCTCATATTCTCTCAGACTCCATAACCTTGCAATAAAACCACTAAGATTAGTGGCTTTATTACCTTGCTTGGGGTGAAATGATAAAATATATACAGTATTCTATTCCTTCTCTTGTACTATTGACAATGTTATGTCAGAATAATCAATGATACAACAAGCTGCAGGGAAATTTGAGTTTGTGCTTTTTTCCAGTAGTATTAGATAATATTAACCTATAGTTAGAATTCAAAACTACTTTTCCATTATATTTGTCATCACTCATCTCTGTAGTTTATTCTAAAAGTCTTTGGAGAATATTCAATACATGTGTGGAGATAAAAGATGGATAGATGTAAATTGCTGTGTTCTTAATTCTTCTCTGATGGTGATGCTGAGAGATGGGTATACAATGATGCTTTTGTAAGGATTGATCATGCAAAGGGTGCTTTTCTTTCCCCAGGTCCACGTTTAATTATCTTATTTGTATGCTTAAATCAACCAAGTTGTCAGTCTTTGTCAAGTGTTGGAAGTTTTCTTTAATTATATTTTACTTTTAAATCAATGTCAGGATGAATAATGGTGTCAGAAAATTTAACATATACAAAGAAAGCATGAATGTTTGAGTGGGGAGAAAGCAATGAGATAAAAAGGAGAGTAAGAAAAGGTTAAAAAAAGAGAGAGGGAAGGACAGGAAAAAGAAGAGGAGGAGGAAAGAAAGAAAAAATATTGAAAACAAGAGCATGAAAAAAGACTAAATAAAAGATTAAATAAGCAGAAGAAAGTGAGAAGAAAATGAATAAAGAAAAATACAAGAAAGATAGCAAAGAGAGTTGAGAATGGGAAGAAAAATGTGAAATAGAAGGGTGGATAAAAGAGAAAAGGGAAAAGGGAAAAGGAATACTAAATGAATAATTGAATGAAAAAAGGACATTTTGAAAAAGGGAGTTAAGAAGAAGTGAAAAGAAAGAGAAAGAGAAATAAGAAAAAAAAAGAATTAAGAAGAAATTGAAAAAGAGATTTAAGAAATAGAAAATTAATTTAATAAATAAAGACGAAAATGAGAATAAGATATTAGTAAACAAACTGAGATTAATGTGAGAAGAATAGAGAAAGAAAGTGAGAGTAAAAGTGAGAGAGAGAATAATCAGTAGAAATAGAGAGTAGAGAGCAAGAAAGTGAGAGAGAAAGAGAGAGAGAGAGAGAGAGACTGTATGAAGAATAGGCAAGAAAGAAAAAGAAAACTAAATGAGAATTAGGAAAGAGAACAAAACAACTGTCAGAGATTGATGTTCAAAAATGTTTTGGTAGAAAAACAACACACACACATATATATATATATATATATATATATATATATATATATATATATATATATATATATATATATATATGAGAAGGGATGCTGAAAAGTTCATATCTAAACCAAAACTGTATTTGCATAACAAATTCTGGGGTTTGGTTATTTGGACAGATTTTGCAAAATGGGTGATATAAAAATAACATTTTCCAGTATTCACTAATGTACCCCCCATATATATACATATATATATATATATATATATATATATATAATCAGCATCAACCAAGCAAAGAAGTACAGCAAGGAGTTACAGGGTGTGTAGGAATTCCCTACAGAAATATTGGTAATGAGTAGAAAGAGAAAAGACCATTCAGCAGGACAGTAGATAATGACTGGCATTGCATTTAAATTCCTGCAGATTAAACTTGGCTGGAAAGCATGGAGCCAGAAGGGAGTTCCATAAACAAGAGTTGTGAGAAAAGAAACTGTTAGCATAGAAGCATCTAGCTAGCTCAACTGTATATTGATGCAAACTCACTGTATTGTGCTCAAATACAGTCTAGGTACCATAGCAAAGAGCTCATCTTAACAGCTACTATGAAAGTATTTATAAAAAAGCCACAGAGATTTTTCTCTTGTTTTTTCTGTGGGTAATGTTTGATGGGATGAAGTTTTATCCAACATTATTCAGTATTGTGATGGAGCTTTTTATTTAACTTTTATTGTATTTGTACAAGTGTTTTCTTTTCTAGACAGAAAGTGTATAAAAACTGTGAAAAAGTTTGGCATATCTGAGTGCTTTTGATTATTCTTTTAGCTTCATTACAACACATTCAAACACACACAAAAACCTACCAGACTCCATCTGAAAAATACTATTAGAAAATACAAGTGTAATAGCCTCATCCACATATAAAAAAAGATTGAAGATTATGGAAGCCCTAATAATAAAAAAGGAAAAGCCAACACTCAATAACATTAACTATGAACATGGTCACAATGTGCTGACCATGTCTGGAAATTAAAACATTCCTATAACTTACATAAAACATGCATAAAAACCCACATAAATGCATTAAAAATAAAAAATAAAAATTGCTCATGATAATGGCTAAAAAAATAGCTGAAATCAATCAGATATGCAGAACTTTTAGACATTTTTATGCACTTTGTATCCAGAAAAAACACACTTGTATAAACACAAGAAAATTGTCAGTCATCTTTAACAAAACATATATATATATATTTATATATATATATATATACATTTATATATATATATATATATATATATGTAATAAATTCATCCATTAGTACTTCATTGGATTGGGTTTATTGTTGTTGTCACTACATCTGTACATAAACAAAAGATGATATTAATTTCAAAATTTTTTTAAATTATTTTATCCATCTAGCCAAATTCATCTATATTCTTTTTTATCATCTTTATTTTTAATATATCCCACATTCTGCCAGGAATGGTGATACGTTGTAAAAACCTGAACGTAAATTTACTGTGGCTGAACTAGATATTTTTGTCTTAGTGAATTATTTTCTCTTTACTTAGAGTAGTATAACAAAACTAAACACAATTTTGAAAAAATACTACAAATAAACTTCTTCCATTTTGTCTTACAATTTCCTTAATATATTTTTATTCTTATACACACACAAATGAATATATATTTTCTTCATACACACACATTCTATAATTAAAACTTGGTCAATAAAAAAGACAGATTGTTTATAGATATAGACAGTGTGGACAAAGGAATCAAAACTGCATGGTAACTATCAGTTTTATACCTCAGGCAATCTTCAGACCATGTGTGATTCCTTTGGCCCTACTCTATATAACTATATATCTATGTATGTGTGTGCATATATATATATATATATATATATATATATATATATATATATATATATATATATCAGGTCATCCCATAAGTTCTGTCCGAATTTTGAATAAAGAAAACAAGTGACCAAATGTTACATTTAATTACAGATTCAATCAACAATATATTTTCCCTGATTATCTATGACTTCCTTCCATCTATTAACAAGCTTATAAATTCCATTACTGTAAAATTCTTTTGGCTTTGATTCAAAGAACTCACAAATGTCTGTTTTAACCTCTTCATGTGTTACAAAAGCTGATTCTTCCAAATGATTCTGTAAGCTACGAAACAAAAATGGTAGTGTGAAGGAGCAAGATCGGGAGAATAAGGTGGATGAGGAATTTTCTCCCAACCAAGTTCTTCGATCTTTTGTGACGTGATTCTTGCTGTGTGGGGTTGCGCATTGTCCTGATGAAACATCACCTCTTTTTGATTCACTAGAGCAGGTCTTTTTTTCCTCAAAGCTTGGTTCAAACACTCTTATTGCTGACAGTATATTTGAACATTAATTGTTGCATTAGGTGGTAAGAATTCAAAGTGGATTATTCCTTGGTGATCCCACCAGATTGAAAGAAGAACGTTTTGCCCATGAAGTTCCCTTCTCGGCTGTGGCTGGGGTCCTTCCCCTTTACCAAGCCACTGTCTACAATGCTTAACATTTCAAGAAAAGATCCATTTTTCATCGCCAGTCACAAGTTTATCCAAAAAAGGTGAAACAAGTTGGCGAGAATGGAGAGAAGAGCAGATGTCAACTTGGGATTTGAGGTTGTTTTCAGACAATTCATGAGGCACCCATTTTCCAAGTTTAGGAACTTTTCCAAGTTGTTGAAGATGATGATGAACAGTTATATGGTTTGAACTGAGAGCCACTGCCAATTCCTCAACTGATAAAGCAGGATTTTCCTCAAGAGCTGCTTCAAGAAGCTTTTCATCAAACTCAACTTGGCATCCGGTTCGATTTTCATCTTCAAGTGTGAAATCTCCACCTCTGAATTTTGAAAACCATCTTCTACAAGTTCTTTCATTCACACATTCCCCTCCATAAACTGAGTGAGTGTTTCTTGTTGCTTCGGCTGCTGAGTTTCCTTTCTTGAATTCATAAAGCATTATGTGCCTCAAATGATTCTTGGGTACTTCCATGTTAGCAGGGTTTTAATCAAACAAAATTTAATTTTATTGTTCTCTGAAATAAAATTTGATCAGTTTAAATGCATCTAAACATAAAAATAATGTTCAGCTCCATTAGACATTATAAAATACTCTTTAAATTTCGTTCATTTTAACAAAAAGTTAAAATTCGGAGAGAACTTATGGGATGACCTGATATGTGTGTGTGTGAGTGTGTGTGTGTGTGTGTATAATTATTATTATTATTATTATTATTATGCACATGCCTAAAACTAATTATTTACAAACATTTTGGATTATATATATTATTATCATATATATTTTATTTCATATTTCTGTATTTCTAGATATTCATGTATAATATATATACATATATATTTGCATACACATGTATCATATATATATATATATATATATATATATATATATATATATATATATGTATAGATATATACATGAATGTTTCTTTTGTATGAGGATTGAGAAGAATTACAGTAAGGTCAAGAAAAAAAGAAAAATAATTTTAGAAGAAAATTAACATACTTAACTATAAAATGTTTATATATATGAGTGTGTGTGCACACACACACACACACACACACACACATATATATATATATATATATATATATATATATATATATATATATATATATATATATATATATATGTATGTATATATATATGCACACACATACACACACAGAAGAGAGTGAGAGAGAAAAGGTTATATTGAAATGAAAATGCAAATAGAGATGAGAACTCTGAAAAAAGAAGGAAAGAAGTAATAAGTATGCTTGAGTGGAAGAGAGAGAGAGAGAAGGTAAGAATAAAGAGGCAAAGAGTAAGTGAAGGTCAGGTGTTTTGCTTTGTTAGATGTTGTAACTTTTGGAAAAAGCCTGATTGTTTTCTATCATATCACCTTTCTGATCCAGTGCCACAAATCTCAATCAGTGTTTGTTTTTTTTTTCCTCTCTTTAATAGAAAGCAAAATTGAGGAAACGGGATTTTGCATTTCATAACTTCTTAATATATTTTCCTATCCTTTAGTTAAGGAATCTTTTCTAGCGATAATTCTTTGGATTATTGGCTTAGCATTTATGAAGACAATGTTCTCTCCACGTGTCTTTTGTGTTCATTCAACAAAATTCCTAAACTAAATTAAAACTAAAGATGAGTTGCTGTGATTTATTTGCAAAAATGGAAAAAATAAAGTTTAAAAAATAGTGAGAGAGATTATTTAGGTAGCTTTAACTTTGTGCCTGTCACCTTGGGTTAGGTGAGATATAACCATTTCATAAAATATGATTCAGCAGTTTATGAGCTTTTAGGATTATTTCACTGGGGAACCACCTGAAACAGGCACTGAGAAAATTTCATTTACAGAATAAATTGCACAGTATTGCTTACATAACTGCCTTACTATATCATAATTCCTCTTTACACTTTTCTTTTCTATTGGCAGTCTCTTAATTCTTTTCCTATCTATCTATCTATCTATCTATCTATCTATCTATGTATCTGTTTGTCTCTCAGTCTGTTCCTATCTATCTATCTTTATATATTTTCTATAAAATGTTTGGAATTTTTAATTTTGTTCTTAAAGAGTAAGTCTTATCAATTTTATTTGTTAAATAATCTTGTATTCTGTTGTTTTTTTCTGCACTCTGAAGGGTTAAAAAGAAAATAAATTATAATTTTCTTAGTGTTGAAGTAATTTGGATTTTCAATTTCTTTTCATTTAGAGAGGACTTAATGAAATTTATTCTAATTTGAAAGTTTATGTACTCACAGTTTTGTTGTCTAGAAATATGTAGTCATGTATCACTCAAGGTTTAACCTAATGTGAGTGTATACACACACACACACACACACGTATATATATATACATACACATACATATATATTCAGTAGTACACAATAAAATCCAAATTTACCTCATATAGGGAATAGACCTATTTCAACTGACAAAAACTTCACCAGTCTTATTCAACCCTGTTATATAGACTGAGTTCATGTCAGAATTATAAATTTAACTGTGATAGTTATAGAAAAATTAATACAGAATTTATCCATTTCAATATTTCAGTCAGATGAAAGGCATGAGACAGTGGTCAGGGGAGGGTGGAAGGTATTAGCCTTAAAGAGAAGTGGTTTTATAAAATTAAACCCAGATATTAACCTTATGACATTAAACTGGGGTCATATGAAGAATGAAGTGTTAATTTGAAACTAAAAGACTATTGTGTACTATTATTTATTTGTGTACTACTATTTATTTTTTTCTACTACTATTTATTTGTGCTGTAATAATAATTACATTGAGCTCTTTTTGTGGATCAGTTTTAATATTTTATATTACTAAGATCCACTTGAATTATATACCAACAGATTTATTACATTTACTATATATATATATATATATATATATATATATATTCTCCTAGTTGAAGTTTTTCATTTTAAAACAATGCAGGAATCCTAACCTTGATGTTATCTGTATGCAAGTGAAGTGTTGACTCTAGTTCACATTTGGGTTACAATTTATATTGAACTGACCTAAAGATGAAAAGATAATCTGGAGTTAGAACTGCAATACACAAATCACTAGATATTATAATAGACATTACACCAATCAGGGAGGCTGATGGCTGCCAACATAGTTGTCCATGGCTGTAAAATCTGAGTAATATTAACATATTCTCCAACGGAAAGTAAGTATTGTTACTGAAAACAATTTAATATTTCCACCCCAAGGTTCACTTCTGGGTCCCACCCTCTTCCTACTTTACATAAATGATCTACCTAAGAGTATACTCTGATCATTTGTGAATAACTATACTGATGATACAATGATATACTGGTACACCTCAAATCCTAGATGATCAAAGATTGGCAGCTGATCTCTCCTCTTACCATGCTCTAACATGAGGGAAAAACTGGCTGGTCACATTCAATACCTCAAAAACCAAACTAGTGACATTCAAACATTGTTGAACAAAAGTAGAATTTTCACATGTTACCTCAGAGAGGTCCCATATCGTCAGTACTTATTGGGACTTAAATTCAGCCCAGATCTCAAGTGCAACTCATACATATGATCCATCACTAAAGATCTTGGAAAAATGGTTTGTTTCCTGTACCACACCAGCAAGTACCTGACCTGACTCTTCTTACTACTATCCTTTACTTTTGCAAGAGACAAATCAGGCTGAAAATGGAGAACTGCTTTCGTATATGAGTGGGAGAAGCCCAGTCTTTGCTTTCCACTGTTGGTTCAAAAGAATCTGAATGTCCTTGTGGTTGACAAATTATTTTCCCCTCTACAACCCATTTTTTGCTGATAAAACCTTGAAAGCCTCTCACTGCTATATTTCCATGGAAAGTTTTCAGATGAACTACATCTTCCTTAATTTAACCACAGTTCTAATCTTCATGTCTAAGACCCCCATACCAAGCACATTGTAGTGAATCATCTTCATTCCCTTTGTATTCCACTCGTTCTACTTAAGCAGTTTCTTCTCATGAACCACTGCCTTGTGCAGCTGACTCCTCAGATGATGCTTCCCTGATCACTACAACCTTAACCTGTTCAAG